GGCGACCAGAGCAGTAGAGGCGCTTGTGCACGTAGAAGTTGTTGATGTTGTTGAAGGTGATCTCGCACTCAAAGCACGTGGCTCCCTTAGTCCCTGGGAAGAGGCCAGTGGGCGTTCCCACTGCCCCAGAGCTCCCCGCACCCTGCTGCAGCCGGCTGTGCACCAACTCGGACATCTTGGCCAGGATCTCCGAGGCCTGTGGCGCTGCAGGGCCGGTGGTATTGCCTGCATCTGGACCGAACACATACTGTGGCAGGAAGAGTGTCCCAGCCATTGCTAGTTCTCCAGGTCCTGGGCTGGAGCCTGGTGTGGGGCTGGACAGTTCTGTCTTCACTCTGACTGGAGTGGGACTGTGCGGTGAAGGTGTCCTAGAAGGAGCCTGGGGACCCGGCTCTCCCGGACCTGAGGCACGAGTCGCTTCAGGCTCTTCTGCAGCCTCCACTTTGATGGTTCTGGGGGCTGCTGGGGACTCGCTACTGCCCCCATTTTGGGGGGGCACTCTGGACTCTCCGTTGGTGACTTCAGCCAAGGCCTTACTGTCTAGTCCTGAGGATGGGGTGGGTGCCTTGTCAGCGGGAGCCAGGGTGCCGTGCATCAATGAGTGCTGCTGGAAGCTTGCCAGGCTGTCTAAAGAACACAGGGCTGTATGTCAGGCCTGGGGCAGGCCTTATGTAGGATGGATTAGGGAGAAGGACTTAGGACAAAGGCTGACAAAGACACCATGTGTTGCCTATGGACAAGCCCCCGCCCCCCTTTCCACTTATCAGAGGGTCAGGAATGCCCCAATATGGCTGCTTACCTGGAGGAAGTTTGGCTGCTGGGTGTCCAGACCCTGGTGAGTAGATTTCACCCTTGGAGCCTGGCTGGCACACCATGTGGTTTGTCACCAGGTGGCTGTAGAGGATGTCCCTTGTGGTAGATATGAAGCCACAGTTGTGACAGACACCTGTAGGCCAGGCTGTTGTGGTCAGGGTTCTGGAGCTGAGGTGTGGCCCCAGAGACCCCATCCCGACCCTCTCCAGTCCACCTACCGCTGAGTGTGTCCGTATGCACCTTGAGGTGGCGTTCGCAGTTGGCCTTGGTGGTGAAGGCTGACAGGCAGATGAGGCACACAAAGGGACGCTCTCCTGAGACATGGAGATGAGAGACTGTCTTAGATCCCAGTGACAAGAAAGGGATACTGGACACTGGCCCTTTTTAGTTTCTTATCAGCCACATGCCTCCTAAAGGCCAGGCATACACCTAGCCCTGTATTACATGAGCAGGTAGCCACAGGGCAGCCTTGAGCTAGGCTGTGGAGAGAGACAGGAGAGCTGCATGGGTGCATGGTAGCAGAGGAAGTTTTCCTAAGCACCTGTCTGGTATGTGGTGCTTGGATATGTGAAGAGCAATGGGCCAGGGGCAGGCGTGGGGCACTCACCACTGTGGCTGCGCATGTGGATCTCCAGCGAGCTGGCGCTGGGGCAGCTTTTTCGGCACTGGGGGAAGGGGCAGACACGCTCATTGGGGTAGGTCTCCTTGGGCTTTTCCTCAGTCGCTGAGGCAGGGGAGCCTGCACGCTGGCGGCTGGCGCAGTAGTAGAGCAGGTGGGCTTGCAGGTTCCGCTCACTACGGTACCAGATCCCACAGTCTTTGCAGGGGAAGACATCTTCTGGTGGAGGTGAAAGTGGGTATGAAGTACAGACTGACAGCGGGTACCTGATAGTAGGGACTGGCCTGGGAAGCCTGCTTCTCATGACTCCAAGTTGAGGTACTGGCTTGTGGTAAACCTGATGCCTAGGGTCCTACCAGGAATGGAGTCTCTAAGTGATTCCTGCAGGTCACCCCTGACCCATAGCAGTGACCTACTCCTGAGACTTTTCACACTGTAAGACTCGCCTAGGCTACTGTCTCTGCACTGGGAACTTGGCTCCTACTGTTGTCTTAGGGCAAACATTCCCTCCCTTTCATTGCATACTTCTCATGGGGCATGCACCCAGATCCCCTGGGGCTGAGCCCTTCCTACCTTAGCAGGCCATGTGCAGTCTTCTAGCACTCAGGTCACCCTGTGTTAGCTGAGTTCTGTCCTTCTTCAGTTCAGTGTCTTACTGGGAGTATAATTCACCCCCCCCCCCACCGTGTGTTTGTGTGTGTGTGTGTGTGTGTGTGTATACAAACTGGACCTCTTGCATCTGAACACCCAGCACCTCTGAGTTATGTCCCAGCCCGGATCTTTGACTTGTGTGTCACCCAAAGTCTGCCCCAGGGGGTCGTATACTTACTGTTGATGACGGCAGTAGCGAGGATGGATGCCATGCCGGCCTGCTGGGGCAGCAGCTGGATGTCTGTGTGTGCTGGGGCTGGGCCTCCAGGTTCGACTGGTTCCTTCACAGGGTGTCTGGGAGTACTGCCAGGCTCAGTCATAAGGAGCACACGTAGAAGTCCACCAGAAGGCACCACCTTGGTGACCCTGCACCAGAGGGCGTCATCTGTAGGGTACAGGCATTTATGATGCTGGGATCAGTGATTCTGGGCTTACAATGGGGGTCCTTCTCTTTGTCCCCCACATTGGGGCCCACTGTACTGCCAGGGATAGGTGAGGCCAGGCAAATGTCAGGAAGTGGCTTTGTTCAGGATCACAGTTGTGCCTGGATTTTTGGGGTGTTATCCTGTGTCTGAGAAAGGATTGGGGATATTCCATTTCCAGCAAAAGACTGGGTATGGAACTGGAAGCAATAATTCTGGGGATCTTGTGTAGCCACTTGGCTGGAGTGGAGGGGTTTTCTGATGTAGGTTCTCCATCCTGCTGTGAATTGGCTAGATGCTGTTCCTACAGTGGCCTGTAGAGGGCAGCCTCAATCAACAAAAACCCTTGTGTGCTGGGCCAGCATTTCTACCTCCTGGCCTGGAACCCTGAGTCTGTGCTTCCCTGAGCTGTCAGCAGGGTCACTGCTGGCCTCTGTCCCAAACCACTGGCTACTCCCAGCAGAAAATAGGAAAAGAAAGGGGACTGTGTCTGTCCTAAGGCAGCAGGAGGAGCTGATCTGCAGTGCAGAGCCTGGGTAAGTCCCAATTTGGGGGCAAAGGTGATATAGGAAAAAAAAAAAAAAGACTCACCAAAGACCATAGGATTTCTGGGGTCATTATGAACCTGTCTGCTTGGTTTCTATTTCCCCAAAGTGCAGGCCCTTCCTAGATCATGTCACTTTTATCATCATCAGCCCTATAAGGAGCCTTGTCTTTTGTGGGCAGGACACTTGGGCAGAATGGTCATAGAAACCTATGGGCAGGGCAGACTTAGTGGTGCAAGCACATGGCTGGCAATCTGATGTTGGGGCTAGTACAGGCTGCATTCTGGCTGCTCCCTCTGGGTTATTAGACCACCCTTTGGTAGGGTAGGGAACATGGTCCCCTCTGCTCTGCAGATAGGGAACCTGAAGCGTGTGCACAAGCACGCATGCACATACGCACGCACGCACGCACGCACGTGCGCGTGTGCGCGCGCGCGCACACACACACACACACACACACACACACACACACACACGGGATGAAGTGTTGGCACAGATCCTACATATTTGACCCCAACTCTTAATTCCTTTGGACCTTGGGAAGGGTGCTCTGCTTCTCCTGAGGGCCTACTCAGGGGTTAACTTCAAGGACAAAGCTTTCAGGACATTTTAGTTGAGGGGAGAGCCCCTTTGTACCCCCCCCACACACACTTTTAGAAGACTGGAGAGACAGAGGGGTCAAGTAGGATAAAACTGTTCGACCACAGTCTTTTCCCGTTTTCTAGATGGAGCAATAACCTGGAAGGCCAGGGACTTACCCAAGGTCCTACAGCTAGTAAGGGTGGGTCTGAGTATGAGCACAGTCAGTCTAACAGAACCCAGGCTGGGCCTCATGTTGCTGTCCTTCAGTGACCCCCAGAATCCCTCAGCAGTCAGTCTCTACCTAAGCCCAGGTGGAGAAGAGGCAATCTCAAGGGGCCAGTGCAGCTCATCTGGCTCTTTTGTCAGGAGGTATGATTTGCTCAGGACTTCAGCTCCTAAGATTGTTCATCGTCCTCTCAGATGGGGTTCTGGGGCTCTCTCAAGCAGTTTCACTATCACTCTCACCCAGATAGGCTGGTATCCCTTTAAGAGCTGGGCCAGACAGAGCCAAGTGGCCCCACTGTCTGAAAGACCTTAGAGGGGAGGGAGGCAGGCATATGAGACAGACCCTTCCTGTAGATCTCAGAGTTGGCTTCAGCTTCAGTCTGGGCCTGGGGTAGCATCCTTAGCCAGCAGGCCTCATCCACCAGCAGGGTCACAGCTGGGCCCTAGGGAAAAGCAGGAACAGGAAAGGATCAGCCTATATAGGAATGCTTATTGGGACTTGGCTGTGCAATGGTGGTCAGTGGCCTGGTAGTTGATATGGCTGGGGTGTGTAGTCCAAACACTATGATATTTGGAGGCACAGCAGGAAGCTGCTTTTTCCAGGTTAGGCATTCAAGCAGTGTGCCCAAGGGCACACAGCTAGTGAGTCTAAAGCCTGCAGACCTGCTGGTCCCTTCCTGCAACAGTGGATGCCTGCAGGGAGCTACATGATACCAGTTCCTCCTGAGTGAGGGAGAGAGGGAGGGAGGGAGGGAGGGACAGAAGGAGGGAGGGAGAGGGAGAGAGGGGGCAGAAGGAAGGATAGAGGGAGGGAGGGAGGGAGGGATGGGGAGAGAGAGAGAGAGAGAGAGAGAGAGAGAGAGAGAGAGAGAGAGAGAGAGAGAATGTGCACACACGTGCGTATTGCACTCATGCCATGGTCCAAAGACAACTTGTAGGAGTTGATTTACCATGTGGGTTCCAAGGATTGAATTTAGGTTGTCAAGGCTTGGAGCCATCTCACAGGTCCAGCCCTTTTACACCTATTATTACTGACTTCAGCCTGAACCCCCTACAGTAGAGTTTTCCTCTCTAGTGCAGGGCAGAACTTTTATCCCTGTCTATTCATTGGCAGCATGGTCACTTCACTATGGTAGGCCACCTTAGCCCAAGACCAGCTGTGTTGCTGAGGCTGAGTAAAGGGGAGGGGTATCTGTGGCCCTATGCCCTCTTCACCACCCTAAAGGCAAGAACTCTGAGGCCAAGTAAAGGGTTGGGGGTATAAATTTCAGCCTAGGGCTGTGCCACACACTTCCTCTGCAGCTTGGTCTAGACCTGGAAGGAAAGAGCTCTGGGATCAGCCCCCCCAGGGCCACCAAAGCTGCTTGTTTCCTGCCCCCTACACCCTGGCGCTCAGCCCAGCAGCAAAGGAAGTATACGTGGCCATGTCTCAGTGCAGCCCAGGCTGGAAGGTTGGGCTGGGATTTAGTCTCACATGAGACATAGCCAGTGGCAGGCAAGCAGGGGCAGCAGAAGCCCTGTCCTGTTTGTCCTTGGAGGGTGTGTGACTTCTACCACCCAGGGCATCTATCTCCCCTCCTGTGGGGTTGAATCTCAGAGCCCCTGGACCTAGCCACTTGGGTACTATGTAAAAGTAAAGAGCATGCCCATGCGTTATTGTCAGCTACTCACTGTTTTATTCAAATAAATGCCTTTTAACCAGAAGCCTGTACCTCAAGAACTTTTAACTGAAGGTCCAGAGCCGCTTCTCACTTTGTGGTGTGCATGGCAACTGGCCCATGGGTAGGAAAGATAAACGACCAGCTGGAACAGGAGGAGAGACAGGCTGCTGACTGTGGGGCACCACCCTGCCAGGACTGTGCTTGCCTTTCCTTGTGTGTGGTGCCCATATAACTCCAGGGCTAAACATCAGGGTCTAATTCAGGCTTGACATTTCCACTGTGGCCCCTGTGGACCAACTTTTCAGAGACCCCATTCACGTGGCATATACAGAGCCAGCAAGATAAGGCCTACTAGCTGGGAACTCCCAGTGACCATGTACCATGAGATCAGGACAGCCCAGCCAGGTGGCTTCCACGTCACCTACTTGCTGCCACGTGGCTTGTCATGGAGCAGAGAGTGGAGATAAGCTGGGAACCCTAGAGTCTCGGTAGGTGACACCTACTACACCTCTGGCCTCAGTTTTCTATATACCAGCAGAGTGAGGCCCACATGATGTGAAGCTACTAGGTTGCTGGAAGCCCCTGCTGGCTGTGGTCTCCTCCTTGTCCTGCCACCAGCTCTCAGAGGTTACAGGCAGGCAATTCCACTCTCTATGGCCCTTTCCTCCCTGGACACTGATGAGTACAGGTATACAGGAAGCCCATGGAGCTGCATACACTGGCCACGGCTGCCTTAGCCTTTGCATGAAGGATGATGTGAACAGGTATCTCTGGGCCCGGGTACGAGCCTTAAAGGGTCCTGGACCATGCTGGCAATTGCCAGATGTCCATTGAGGGAGTGTATTTTATCCAATGCTTCAGCTCTGTTGGTGTCGGGGGGGGGGGGTGGCTCATTCTTAATGGGTACCTGGCTGACTCCCAGGAATGCAGTGGATAGGTATGCCTTCAAGGTCACAGTTGGGTAGCTTGGAGCAAACCCGAGAGGTAATGCAGCCCACGGGGTGTGGCACCCACAATGGGGACCTGTGACTCCCATAGCCTAGCTGTTCCTGGCTGGAGCAGATGGTTGTCAGTGAGGTGGCTGGGTCTGGCCCTCCCTGCCTCAGCCTTCCACGTCTCTAATGAATATTAATGAGCAGAGGAGGGTGAGAAAATTAATCTGCCTGATCCTTTGATGGGTGCTGTGGTAACGATATGAAATCTAATTATTCGTCCCAATATTTCTAAACCCTCAAACTGAGACTGACAGCCTCGCGGTCGGTTTAACGCTTATCGCTCTCTGGAGCAGCATGTTCACGGCATGATAAAAACACGCGCGCACCACTTTGCTGACGCTGCACAAGCCGCTCTTTCTGTGGAGGTCCCAGTGTAGGGAGCACCATACTGCATCCCCCCCACCCCCTGCAGCACTGCGGCATGTGGTGCAACTTTGGGGAGCAGAGCTACGGGGTAGCTAGGGCTGCTGTTCATAACCACATCAACTCCCCAGGGAAACAGCTCATGTGATCTTGGTTGCCCCAAAACAGATGTCCTAGGCCTCCATCCATGGTCCTTCTCTGCTTCCAGGGGGCCTGTCATCCCACTGTGTCAGGATAGGTTGGTGTTTAAGACAGGGATTACATTCCTTCTTTTTCCTATCTGGATCTCTTAGACCCTGGAGGATGGAGCACTGCTCAATCTGACCTGACATACCTGGTCAGCTCCCAGTTTGGTCCAGAACCTCCAAGTCAGCAAGGGCCACTCTTTGATCTACTCTGGCAGTGGCTAGAATGGAAGGACAGGAGCAGGGGCTGGCTACAGGTTCCCCTACAGACAGGTTAAGGTCCCGGAGTGTGGCTTGTTTATTTTCTTTCTTTTAGTCTTTTATTGCCGAACAGTTCTGGAATAGAAGCTCTTCTCTAGTGTTGAAGGCACCAGCCAAAGCCCCACAGGGTCCTGCCCCACCCATGGGCAGCAAGGAACAGGCCTGAAAAGGGTCTATTTTATTTTTCAGATGGGAGAGCTACCAGACAAGTTTTTCTGTAATTCAGGCTGGTCTTGAACTTGCTACATAGTCAAAGATGATTGTAAACTTCAACCTCTGGCTTCTACCCCTTGATTCCTGGGCTGACAGGTGTACCACCATGGCTGGTTTATGTAATACTGGGGATTGAAACCAGGGCTTTGTGCATATTAGGCAAGTACTGTACCAGTCAAGCTATATCTTCAGTATGGGACTTATGTTTGATTCTCATAGCCTGGCCCTTTTGCAGAGACCATCGGAGGCATGATGCAACCATCTCTCTCCCTGGTCTCAGTGCCTCACCCACTTATCTGTATAGGTGTGCCCAGGGTCAGAGAATTCATTCCAGGTCACCATCCAAGTCGCCATTTGTCTCTTCCTCCTGGCTCTAACTCATCCCAGCCCCCAGCTTAGGATGATGTCAACCACTTTAAATTCTCCCATGGATCTGAGCCTGCTCCTGTTACCCCCAACAAAGAGGTCAGTGTCTCGACTCCAGGGGCCGACAGTCATCAGAAACCATATCTGTGCACCATCTGCTACGACAACTTTATCCGAGGCTGCTCCCAAACCTTGTTGTCCAAGTATAAAGACATTTATAGGGAAGTAGGCCCTTTCAGGTGGGCAGCTTGGCCCAGAAATGGCATCCCACACTGCTGCCTGGACTTGAGATCTCTATGAGCTGGACAATCAGGGCTGAGACTGGGTGACTCCAGTACTAACTGCTCTCCTGATCCATCCACCTGTGCTGAGAATTTACTGATCCACTCATCTTCCACAGTGATGGCAGCTCAGGGCTCCTTTCTTTTTCCCAGATGCCCATTGCCCACCTCACATGTGCAGGGCTGAAGCCCAGTAAGATGACTATGCACACAGGTCTGAGAAGCTCAGCCCCGTCCCAGTGGCCTTTTCAGTCACGTATTCACTCACTCATTCATTCATTCATTCATTCACTCCTCAGATGGTTTCTGAAGGCCAGCTGTGTGCCAGGTGCTAGGGGCAAAGTAAATAGGAAAGAGGATGGACTAGGGCCTGTTAAGGACAATAGGAGACAAGGGTCCAGAAAGTGTCAGGTCTGGGCTTGCTGTTAACTGGGTTTTATGTTAGAAGACGAGCCAGGGAGGGTGCTAGGCCATCACAGGCAGAGAAATGCAGTGAATCTGACCCAGGAGATGAGTGATCACCTGCAGGGAAGGTCCCAGGTGTATGGTTTAGCCACCCTTGCCAGCCATCCCTCTGTTGGAATATCTCACAGCCTTTTATCTCAGGTGGCTTTGGGGCCCACAGATGAGGTAGCTGCAGGTGGGCCTGAGGCTATAGCTGCTCTAGTTCAGAAGCAGGTAGGAGAGCCTGAACAGAGCCTGGAGCTGGGTATTTCCTAAGCTCCTACCACAACAAAAGGGAAACTTAGGCATGGAGAAGAAGGGTGCCCAGGCCCCCACAAGGCCAGCAGAAAGCCTAGACTAGAAGTACACTTTCGCTTCTGCCTGGTGACCCAGCCAAATGATACTCATGACTACCCCAGTCTCTGTGGAGTGGGCACAATGGTAGCTTCACAGATGTCACCAGAATTGTGAGAGTCATCTCATTTAGAGAAAGGGTCTTGCAAATCTGAGTTCAGAATCTCAAAATGAAAATCTGAAAGTACCTGAAGCAGGGCAGTCCTGGGCCCAATAACAAGTGGCCTAAAAAAGAGAAGAGGCAATGGGGAGACAGGAGCCACATGAAGTCAGCAGCAGACAGAGTGATGGCCAAGGGCCCTGGGGCCACCAGAGGTCTCAGCAGACTCTGCCTCAAAGACCCACAGGGCCACCTCTACCCGCTGGGATAGTGGCCACCGTCTTCAACCATGACAAGTGTAACTGAGACTCCAGTACTCCAGGTTATAGCACTCAGGGGGCATCTATGGGAGGATCTGCCTGCTGTCAGAGTACACCAGACAGCTGTTTCCAGCTGAGGTCCCTGAGGCTGGCTGTCTCTTCTGAGCAGTAAGATGGGGTTTGGAATGCCCTAGTAGGTCAGCAAAGCAGGACCCAAACACAGTATATCCCTGTCTGGGTAAAGCAGCAGTGAGCACAGCTGGGCTGTGTGTCCTGGGAAGGAGGCCTTTCCTTCCAGTTACACAGAGATGTGGCTGAAACCCAAGCTGCCCCAGCATTCTCCTAAAGTCCCCAGCTAGGGTGGGGTCTGAGGCGAGTCAGGGCTTTGCCATGATAGCCTAGGTTTCCTAGTTCAATCCTCAGGTGAGAGGTCCCCAGACCATTAGGGGTTGACCTAAAAGCCATTCCACACTTTTAAGTGAACACTTGCCCAAAACCATGTGGAGGCTGGACCCAGATGGTCCCACTTCAGTCTCTCTAGCATCTTTCCCTGCTTAGCTGTCATGGGCCCTCCCCTGGCTTCACTGGTGTTATGGTGGGCTCCTGGCCAAAGTAAGTAAGCTGAGGGGAACAATGAACAGGCAGAACTAGTATGGCCAGGCTGGAGTGAATGGTTATGCACTCACCATTCTTCTATCCATCCACTTATGTACCCATTTCTGTCTTCTCATCCACTCTTCCAGCCATCCATTCATCGACCTATCATCCACCCACTCACCATCTATTCACTCCTTCCTCTCAACCTGTTCATGTGTCCACCTACACATGGACCCGTTCATGATTACACATCTACACATTCACTTATCGAATGACCCACCCACTATCCATCCTCTAACTAACCGTTTATGCTTCCGTATACACCCATCCATCCATCCATCCATCCATCCATCCACTTACCTCCCATCTACTCTCATTTACCCATCCACTCACCCACTCACTCCTTACCCAACTTTATGTGCTCACCCACTCATCCTTACATTCATCAATACAGCCATCCACACAGCATCCTCATCTCCTCCCTCTTCATTAACCCATCCTGAGCATCTGGGGGTGAGGTACATTGTGGAGCTGGGACCCTAAGAAGCCTTTTCAACTGTCCTCTTTTACAGGCAATGGAAACCATAGCAAACCATGGATTCAAGACTACCAACTCTCCATTCAGGGCTGTGTGACTCAGTTTCCTTCCTGGATATCTGGTGTGGTTAGCAATGTTGGGGGGGGGGAATTTCCCTTTCACCATGTCCCCATGGTGAGCAGCCCCCAGCCTAAGAGAAGCCGGGGAAAGGGGCCCCATATCTGCACACACTCCCTCCTCCTTCTCTAAGGGGAGAGGAGGAACTGCCTGGCGGCTGATAGGGCCATGGGGCAGGAGGCGACTTCTTCCTCAGGCTGCGGGGAGAACTGGGACCCATCAGCAGAACTTGATAAGAGCCCGCTGAATGTTAGCAAAAATATTTAGACAATAAACGAAGTATCGCAAAGGCGCCCATATCTTTCAGAAATCAATCATCTGTACCGTGTGTCTGGACGCTTGGCGCCAAGGCAGAGATAGTGCCTTGCTGGGGAGATAAGGGTTAATCAAGGATTTAATTCTGTGAGATAGAGGGGAGTGAGGGAGGTGCTTCCTCCCTCTTCTAGGAGCCTCAGAGACATTGTGATGCTGGCACTCCATTGGCCAGCATCTCACACCTGGGTGGGGACTCTAGTTCTTGCCACCTTCCCAGGCTGAGCTATTCCAGGAGTCAAACTGGGAACAAAGGGTGGTAGGGACAGAGGCTCTTGTGAGGAGGGGTGACTTGAGATGGCAGGAGAAGAGTTTAGCACAGTTGGGCTAGGTTCTAGCTCTCCCTCAGCTCTCTGGATCACGGTGATTTAGGTAAGAGCCTCAGAGCATTAGCTTTGTCATCTATAAAATAGGGTCATTTGGGGCTAAGGAGATGGGTCAGTGGGCAAAGAGGCTTGCCTCTAAGGATGGCAATATGGGTTCATTCTCCAGGACCCAAAAGGTAGAAAGAACAAATCAACTCCTATAAGTTGTCCTCTGACCTCCACAAGTTATATGTTGGAATGTGTGGAAGGACAGATAGATGGACATAGAGAGAGGAGGGCGAGAATAAATTTTAAAAATTGGCAACAGTGGCCTGCCTTCTAGGGTTTGGGGAGGATGCCATGTAGAATGTTCCTGGGGACATACTTATTTGTCCTATCTTGGGTTGACCACCCCAAGGAATACAGAGGAGACTGTCACAGGGCACACCAGGACCTGGGTGCCAGTTCCTGGGCAGACCTGACTTTGCTCCTGTTGCTACATGAGGGTTTTCCTGAATAGAATGTGGAGATAGGGGCCACCAGATTCCTGGTTGCACACAGACTCCTTTCTGACCAACCAGTGCCAGTGGTCTCCAAGTCACTTGCTGTCTACCGTACACAATAATATGCTCACCCTGTAGAGCCACTTTGAATGCCCTGGCTTCCTTCCTACTGGACCTCATTCAGCTGTGGTGTGCATCATGACATCCCTCCCTGGACCTTAGGCTAGCCTCCTTCCTCAGGCTGTACTGAACATGTACAGGGTCAAGTACCATTCTAGGCCTATCTCACTCACTCCACAAAGCTGCCAGCAGGTAAGGGGATCGACTCCTACTTCACAGAGCACAGCCTGACCTTATCTTCTCTGCAGACCTACGCCTAAAGGAAGCCTCTAGGTTCCATGTGACCTGCCTGTGGTCTCAAGGACTGAGGAAACAGTGGCTCTGAGCAGGAAAGGATCTGCCTGGGACATAGGAAACAGAAAACCCCAGGTGGACATGCTTAGTCCAGGACCAACTCCTTCCTGCTCTCACTGGACAGCTTGGGACAAGTACCTATCCTGGGGGCTGAAAAGCTATGGGGACAGGCCACAAGCCTCTGTAGGTGGATTATTTGAACCCAGTGAGCTTTTCCAACATGAGAAAGGTTGTCCCAACATAGAGATTCTGAGTCACCACATATGACTAGTGCAGAAGGGGCTGTGAGTGGGTAGTCTGTGCTAGGGACCTGTTTGCTGCTCCACACCTGCCTATGGCCATTGTATTAGCAGTCTGTGCTTCTGTAATGTTTTTGAATATGAGACTGTGTGTGTACAATCCTGACTTCTAGATGCTGGGGAAGTACAGCCGGAAGTCTTAGCCTCACCTGCAAAGGGTACTAAGAAGGCAGTCCTCAGATCAAGGAATCCAGAAGCATGTGGCACTGGCTGGCCAGTGAATATCTTGGATAAAGCCACACCCGATTGCCACATTAGGAGACAGAGGGCCTACACCACCACAGTGCCCTGGCATAAAGACACCTTATCCTAGGCTTGACAGGGCTAACCTAGGAGCTGTTGGGCCTCCCAGGCCTTTGCCATTATACGCCATGAACATTGCACAAGCCCCTCCAATTCCTGCTCATCAGCTGCCTACACAGCTGCCCCATGTTTGTACTCAGGTCTCTGTGTTCTGGTGTCCTTTTCCATCTGCAGTGATTTCAAAAGGAACCCACACATCACAGCAGGAGGAAGCCAGGCCAACTTGACATAACAGAAGCAGCCTCAGAAGCAAGTCCAAGACAAACGGCAGTGTAGTTGTGTGTGGGGAAGGAGGCTGCCTTAGGAAATTTCTGCCCAGCAGTATAGGGCAAGCAGTATAGCAAGCAAGCTGAGCCAGTGCCGGAAAGCCATGCCTACCCCAGCACCTGTTTCTGTGTCAGAAGGAACTTATCTTCTGCAGCACCACCACCCCCTTCACTCAAGCTGCTGCCCACCCCTGGCCACCTTTCCCTCCCAACCTGATGAGCACCCTGTTCCTTGCTGCTCACTCTCTTTGGACACCCTTCCTTTTCTCTGCTGGGCTCTACTCCCCTAGGAAGTCCCCAAAAGCACAGTATCACCCCCTTCAGAGGCCTCCCAGGAAGTCCCTCCCTTTTACCCTTGGCTCTTTGGGTTCCACCAAAGTTCCCCATGGGTAAAGGCAAGAGTTGGGGTTTAGCTCCTTACCGGTTCTTCCCGCTCAGGGGATAAGGCTCTGGTCTGGATGCTCCCATGGAATGGGCCCCAGGATAGACCCTCAGTGAGGCTCAGTCGGGCCCGCACACACCTCTGCCCGTCCTGCAGTGCCAGCTCCAGCTCCTCTGAAGGGAAACATGGTGGGGTGAGGTGGCTGCTTGGTGATCCCCCAGCCCACTTCTGTCCCATAGTCCCCATCCTGGCCTGGTCCTAGAGCCAGGCCTTTGCCCTTTTTGAGTTGCAGAAATGCCACAGAGAGGTGGACAGGCAGGTCACACCATGGCCTTGCTCATAGTCTGCAGAACCTGTGTGTGCCATACACTACATGCAGAACCTCGTGCATGAGGTCAAATGGTAGCCCTTTACAGGACATCACCTGTAACTGAATGTCCCTTGCATGCGGGGAAAAAGGTCTGCAGGTGTGACTAAATTAAAGATCAAGAGATAAGATCAACCTGGATTTGCAGGTGGTTCTAAATAAAAGACAGTGTCTTTAAGAAAGGCAGATGGAAAATACAGAGCCAGAGGGTATGCCACATGAGGCTTCTAGAACTTCTGATGGATTGTGGCCTGCAGGATGGGACAAGGAGACCCTTGGTTGTACTAATTGGTATTAGCTGTGGGACATATGGACACCTGGCCAGCCACCTGCCCTACTTTGAGCCTCTGTTTCTTTAAAGGAGGCAGGAGTATGGTCATTCCCTCAAAGGGTGGTACTTCCCCAGGCCACACACCTTCTGCCCTGTCCACCTGCTACTCAGGCTGCCAGCCAGTGGAGGCCTCACATGGCCTGGCCTGGTCCCCTGGCCAGAGAGCTGTGGCGGCCCCACTTCCTGGAGCCCCATCAGGCAGGCTGTGGCCTTAATGGGCTTGATCATCAGATAACTGGCCAGCTAATGGTGGAGATAAGGTGTAAATACGCCAGGAGGCCCCATGGAGAGCTGTAACTGGGCCTTTGTCTTCCCCAGGGCTGATAAGATGGCAGTGGACCAGGGCTGGAGGCCAAGGAGGCCCGCACCCCTTTATCAGCCTGGGAGTGGGAGAGGGGCTGAGGGGCCAGAAGGCAGGCTCTACCCTTCATAAAAGCAACCAGTCCTCTGCAGCTCAACCAGGACACTGTCCTGGTGCAGGGTTGTCCCACTGGCTCCCCTTCCCTTGTCCCACAGGCCATGGCTCAAAGTTGACACGGGGATGGTCAGTACCATCTATAGGAGCAGAGACAAGAACTGGGCAGCACTGTCCTAAGGGGGATACAGAGACTAGTTCCTGTGAAGTTTATTTCCAGTCTAGATGAGGAAACTGACTACAGGGCTTTTTATCTGTTGTGACAGTGACCTGTCAGCTTCCCCTGTTTTTGGTACTTAAGTCTTTGGTCCCCACACAATGGCCCTCACAACAGAAATGGAATTAGACCAGAGAATTCTTTTGAGAGTCTGTGCTTAAAGCTTGGCCAACCAGGATCCCACCTAGGTGTCCGGAAGTTCTATCCTGAGAAGGGTGTACCTGGATCTTGAGACAGACAGCCAAGTCATCTACCCCCACATGACTCCTATTCTGTGTTTAGAACATTCCTCAGGAGATGAGGCCTGGCAGCCCCTGTGTCAGGAGCTCCCTGTTACAGGGATACCTTCATCTGAGGCTGTGTCCTCACAAATTGGGGCACAAGGTAGGGAGGCAGTTGATGCAGGTCACCCTGAGGGTGTGGCATGGGCAGTCCTACAGCCACACCCATCCATGCTGCTACCTGTGGAGGCCAGGCCCTTTTGGACAGCTCTGGGCTCCAGCTTGCCTCCAGCCCCCACGGGGAAGGAGCCAGTCAGTGCCACCCCCTCACTCACCCACCGACAAACGGCCCCGCACCCTAATCAGAGTTCATGGCCATGGCTCAGCCTTCCAGATAAGAATATGGCTGGCATTTCCCACGGCAGCCACCCTATCCTCTGGGTATCACACTTTGCCAGAGAGGGCTGGTTGCTGATAAGGGCTGTGGTCCCTCTCCCGGGGGACAGCAGCACCACTCTGCACTCAGGGACTGGAGGAAGCCTAGGAGAGTTGGGGATGTACAACAATCACTATGGTAACATACCTCTCTGGTCCAGGGTCCAGGCCAGCCAGTCTGAGGCTGCCTTTTGAGGCAGATAGGTAAGGGGAGAACAGCTGATCTCAGCCTCAGCTCACCCCGGCACCTTGTGCAGGGTGACCCATGCAATTGGGCTTCTATGCTAGAAAACATAGTTCCTGCACCAACCCCTTATGGACAAAAAATGAGCTAGCACCCAGCAGAGATGCTCTCATGGAGAAGTGATTCCTTTTCCAAGGACCCTGAGACTGAGAGTGTACGAAAGCAAGCTCAGGGTTATAGAGGCCTGGCAGGTGAGGGGCTGGAAAGACAGTGTTCTACAAAAACTGGAGCTCAATGGCGGTGACAGGAAACCTGGGCTAGATGTGGCCATAATCTAGTATCTGGGTTTGTGGCATGTGTTCTCTATCAGAGCCCCGAGGGGTTTCCGGGGGGCAGGGATTGGGCCATAGCTTCTATTCTGGGAATTCTGGGAACAAGGTGCTGTCCAGATGCCCTTATGGGCACAGGCAGCTCCTATGGCAGGCTGTTATGGTGGGTTCCAGCCTGGTTCAGGCCTTGGTCACCTGTTCCCTCAGTTGGAGAAAGGAGAACATGTCTTTTGTCTCTTAAGACCAGCAGTCCTAACATGAACCCTGGCCCCATCTTCTGAATGCCTTAGCCCAGCATCAAACAGGACTTACGGGATTCCTCCTGGCATACCTAGGAGACTAAGGCTCAAAGAGGATCAACAACTAGCTGGAGTATGCATAGCAGACAGGCTGAGTTTGAGCCAGAGTCGCCACACTTATAACCTCAGTTGAGGAATGACGTAGGAGGGAGAAGCTGGCTTCTTCCAGAGCTGAAATATTCTGGCTCTGGTCTCAGTTTCCCTAATGTTCTCTGGTGGACCCTTGGCAGGAACCAGGCTGTCACTACAGGTCCAGCACTGGGCCAAGGGCTAATGTATTCGGGTAAACAATTGTACACATTGCTTCTAGAACACGTGCTAGGATGTAATTGCATTCCCCAGAAGCATCTTCAAGGAACCTAATGCATATTTATCTGTTTGCAATGTTAGTCATATACGGCCCTCAGGGCACTCAGCCCCCAGGAACAGAAGCTCAGGATCCACCTCCTCAGCTGGAGCCTGGCTGGGGGTGGGGTTGAACTGGTGATCATTGGGGTGCTCTGGGTGGCAGAACTGTATTCAAACCAACAGGCCAAGTCCTGACACTGCCCTAGTGGCCATGTCCTGTCCTGCTGGAGCCTCAGTTCACTGTTGTAGAAGAGGTGCCAAAGTCATCCTAAAGAGCCTGTGAGTGTAAGGCTAAAGGGCCATGTTTATTGCAGTGCTGAGACTGGCCTCACAGGTGGTGCCCTTGGCCTGGGAGCTCCTCCGACCTGAATTGAGGCCCCAGTTCCAGCTCTGCCTTGAAATCTAAGTGGCTTCCCTCAACAACATGCACAGCACCACCCAGTACTGGCATTGGCCTCCTCTTTATGTATGTGACGGGGGCCCAGAGATCTTACACAAATTCTCCAAGGTCACAGCCCCAAGTGTGGCCACTCCTTTTTCTTTCTTTCTTTTTTAATGTTTTGTTCACAGTGTATGTCAGTGTATAGGTATACCATGTGTGTATATAGGCTCACACAGGCCAGAAGAAGATGTCAGATCCCCTTGGAGTTGGAGCTTCCTGACATGAGGGCTGAAAGCCAAACTTGGATCCCTGAAATAGCAACAAGTGCTCTTAACCACTTAACCATTTCTCTGGCTCCCCAAGCATGGCCACTCTGTTTTTTTTTTTTTTTTTTTTTTTTTTTTTTGAGACAGAGTTTCAGGGTTACTCTGTGTAACAGTCCTACTTGTCCTGGAGTTCACTTTGTAGACCAGGTTAGCCTCAAACTCACAGAGATCCACCTGCTTCTGTCTCCTGAGTGCTGGGATTAAAGGTCACCACCACTTGGCTCAAGTATGGTCACTCTTAAGCCCTGACCGTCTGATAAGACCCACACCACCCTAGTTTTCCCATGTGAGTAATGCCCCATCTGCTGGCATGCAGCTCTAAAACAGGAGGTTGTGGTGTACAGAAGCATTAGCAAGAGGCTTCCTCACCTCAAATGGGGGTAGACCCCCTTATGCCAATGGCCAGGGCCTCTCGAGTACCAAACCAACCACCCAAAGCCCCCACCATGCCCTGTGGAGTCTGTGGTTGGAATGTGGGTGCCCACCAGCTCACCACCAGTACCTACTTATCTAATCAGCCCATCGTTCCCTCCAACCCGCCCTGTGGCTCCTACAGGGCAGCTGGGGAGCGGCCCCTATCACAAGGATCACCCTGTTTGCTTTTGATAAAAGTCACAGTAAAGGAAAGAAAAAGGCATGAGCGAGAGAGAGGGAAGCCCCAGTCTGGCAGGGTCTAGAAGATTCTGCAGGTGAATATAAAACAGGGTAGGCAAACAGTATGGCCCAGAAGATACCTGCTCCTGCTAAAACCAGGGCCCAGAAAGGACAAGTGGCCCACCCCCAAAGTCACAGAGCAGATGAAGGAGGGGTGAGAGCATCTGGAACATGTTCTCTGGACCAAGCCACACTGAAAGACATTGTAAAAAGGGCCCTGTGCGTTATGCTTGCCCTTGCTTGGTTGTTGAGGCCTCAGAGTCTCTGTCCGCTAAGCAATTTTTAGGGAAGAAGGGGTGGGGGAGGGCATTGAAAGTAAGCTTGAAGAGGTCAAGGAACTTTCCCAAGGTTATATGGCCAGTAGGGAAAGTTCAGCCAGTTCCCTCTGACCCCAAACTCATGACTCCAATTTGGGTGGTGCTGGCTCACTCATAGCAAATCCCCTGTATCAGGCAGGTGGGTATGCCAACCTTAGCCACAAGATTTCCCATTTACAGATAGGAATGTGAGCAGCAATAGGGACAGAAAATGATCCTGAAAGCCCAGTATGGTCCCAGTACTCACTTGCAGGGAACTAAGCAGGGAATCTCAAGCCTGTGGCCATTGGCACAGCCAAGATGGAAAGATTTTCTGTTAGATATTCTATAGAGGGAGACGATGGCACC